TTCTACACGCTGCTAGAAAAACAACCCTTTAATTTCTGATTGGGGGTGCACGTGGAGGGGGAATTGTGCCATTTCAGAAACAGAAAAGGCCTTTTGTCAGGAGTAGTCGTGTCATGTCTGTCTGCCGCAGAACAGCTAAATTTGAGTCCAGTAGCACCTTAGAGATGAACAAGATTTCCAAGCAGGGGTATTATTTGTATGTGTTGTTTTACTGTAACAAATTGTTGTGTGAAAAATTTATTAAAAATTCCATGAGATTATTTATGCTATATAGATAAGATTGATAAGATAAAATGATAATATAGTCTGAGAAAATGGTAGAATATACCGAATAGGTCATTAAACCAATCTTTTAAGTTACTATGTAATGTTATATATATATAGATATATAGATATAGATATAGATAGATATAGATATATGTCTTATGCCATTATATCATAAATTTGTTAAACTATTATGCCATATACTTTTTTATATATACACATGTATTCAGATAAAGGAATGTCCTCAATATCTGTCAAATTGCCCTTACATTATGGTTTCGGTAATTATATTCCCTATGCTTTTTTTCCTATTCCTTTTTTCTTTCTGTATCCCCTTAAAAGATTTAAAGTAAAATGTATTAAGATTTTCAAGCGATGGTTTTTCAAGAAAAAGGGAGCTTTGACTCTTGAAATTTCATACCCCCGAAAATCCTATTGGTCTCTAAGGTGCTGTTGGATTCAAATGTAGCTGTTAGCTAACAGTTCTATATGTGCATTCCTAAGAAGGTGCTGCTGTTATCTCAGACAAAATGCAACAGTGCATTTAAGGGCAGTGCAGTGTTCGTGTGTGTGCCCTGGGCCTGTATGCATGCATGCACATGCTAGCTGGGAAAGCTTTAAACAAAGATGGAAGGTGGTAGCCGCACCGCCATTTGGGGGGCATCTTAGAGTCTTGGAGACAAATCTACTGTGGGGTCTTCAGATCAAGGGGCCTTTGTGTTTATGACACATCTGTTTGTTCCAGAGAGTAGCTCTGTTGGTCTGCAGTAGAACAGCTCAATTTGAGCCCCATGGCACCTTAGAGACAACAAGATGTTCAGGGTAAGAGTTTCCAATAGCCAAAACTCCCTGGGAAAGAGAGCTTTGACTCCCAAAAGCTTATACCCCCAAAATCTTGTTCTCGGTTTCTAAGGTGCTACTGGACTTCAACCTAGCTGTACATGTGTTTGTGGTGGTATCTTAGAGGAAGATGGATGTTATGGGCCTCCCCTTATCACCAAGCGCAAATACTTATCTTCAGACATGGTCAAAAATGGTGCCACCAGAATTAAATTGAAGGGCTGTTTTACCCATTGGTGGAGTGTCAAGCATTAGACTGCAGGGGAGATAAACACCTGGCTCCCATGCACCCTATCCAGCATGCAGAACGTGTTGTACCGCTAAGCAAATATGTGCATAATCCCTGTGAGTGCCACAGAACGGGGTCGACAGATCAAGCAGGTGAAAGTACACGCAGAGAGTCAGCATGGTGTAGTGGTTAAGAGCGGTGGACTCTAATCTGGAGAACCAGGTTTGATTCTCCACTCCTCCACATGAAGCCCACTGGGTGACCTTGGGCCAGTCACAGTTTTCAGAACTGTCTCAGCCCCACCTACCTCACAAGGAGACTGTTGTGAGGAGAGGAATGGAAGAAGAGGAAGAGGAGGAGATTGGATTTATAACCTACCCTTCACTACCCAAAGGAGTCTCAGAGCAGCTTACAATCTCCTTTCTCTTCCCATCCCCACAACAGACACCCTGTGAGGTAGGTGGGGCTAAGAGAACTCTTTCGAGAACTGTTCATGAGAGAACAGCTCTGAAAGAACTTGTAACTGACCCAAAGACACACCAGAAGCTGCATGCGGAGGAGGAGTGGGGAATCAAACCCAGTTCTCCCAGATTAGAGTCCACGCCCCTAACCACTACACCAAACTGGTGATGGTAAGCTGCTTTGAGACTCCTTAGGGTAGAGAAAAGCGGGGTATAAAAACCTACTGTTCTTCTTCAGGGTTACAGTCATTCCATCATAAAAAGGTGGTAGATACATCATGTAGGGTGAAGCATAAGTATGGGGCACAATACATGTGCTTGGTGTTCAATCTCAAGGCGCAAAGGAACATTGACGAGCCAAGTGCCTCTTGCTTGGAATTTTTTTAAAAAATGATAAAAAGGAGGGAAGCTGAATGGCATCATTCAAAGAATAGAAGCTTTAGATGTTCGATTAGAGGATTATCAGAGGATTAGAGCAAAAGATGGGATAAACTTGAAAGTGACAAAAACCAGGAGACAATTTAACAAAGGCAGATCAAAATATCAAAATCGTAACCAAAGAGAAAGAAGAGCAGAACGGAAATCGTTAAGTCAACTGGAAGAAAAACTTAAAAGAATTAGATGTAGAAACTAGGCAGGATAACCTAAAGTTCAGAGGGTTACCAAAGAGTATCTGGTGGGGTTTCTAGATGAAATTCTGAAGGGATGACTAGCAAAGAACCGCTGGCTCCCCGTTACAGGGCCTAGACTTAAGTTTCATGAATCAAGGGGTGAGAGAAAGCGTAACTGAGGAACATGTGCAGGTCCAACGTGTCTCATATACATTTGTGTCTATGCTTCAGTGGAGTTATGCCTTGATTCCGCCTTGCCACAGCAGAGCGCGGAGCCAAGCCCGCCATTCCCCCAGTCACCAGCACCCTTTTGCAAGTGCCGCTATGCGTCCCAGCGCATGAATAGCATCTCTTCTAATGGACGTTGCATGGGTTTACGGAATGATGCATGACTTGTGTGTTTGCATGCGTCTTCAGACGTCATCCGGTCGCTACTGTGTACGTTGTCTCCAAATTCCAGGACCCCCTCCATCCTTTTATTGCCAGGTGTTTCCAGAGCTATCTTCACACTTCTGTCTTCAGAATCACCTGAGATACCACTCTTTCTTTCTAGGGCCTTCCTCACTAATTGTCTCACCACAGTTGCCACACCCAGTGCCAGTGCCGTCAGCTATGCACAGCCTCACACCAGCACACTTGTCTTTTTTTACTGTCTTTTGGCTTTCAGGAGCTGTATCTGTGCATTTCAGTTTGTGGAGTTGTATGGGGAAGGGCGGAACGGTTCAACTTCCTCTTCCTTTTCCCCAATGTTCTTGATTCAAGTCTGAGGGCCTCTGTATGGTGGTGATGCATTTTGAATGAAGTTGGGAAGATCTGAACACAGATCTTGAAGCATCTTGTCTGTTCTGAGCCTTACTTCATTTACAGTGGCATCAGGTTCTAGTAGGCCTGGTTCGTGTACCTGGCAAACTGGGTTTGGGACAAAGAATATTCCCCAGAATCCTCTGTAATGTGCAGGGATTCCTTAGCTGACAAGAGCACCCAGAAACAGTTTGTTTGAAGTTACAAACTTCGGAAACAAATTTCCATCCAGCTTATCATCTCAGAGGACTGGGCTTTAATGATGCCCACATGTAAAAGATGCTTCCAAGGTTGGCTCTTCCTTTATTCTAGATTTCTGTCTGCATCACAAGCCACGCCAAGTTTGCACGCTGCACCAGAAAGTTATGCAAATCACACACCCACACACAACCGCACGCTGGTTTTTACGTTTTAAAAAATTCATTGAGGCAGTTGGATTAGCACAACACAAAGAAAGACCATTTGGTGTGAGCCTCTTTAGGAGACTCCTGGAAAATAATTTCAGCTGCTAAAACCCACCCATCCAAAAAATGAATACTGTTTGCTCCTCGGTTTGCTTTCAAAATGTTTGGCAGATGGAATTGTGGCTGACTCTGGTCAGAAGGTTATTTAAAACAGCCGTTTCAACCAGTAAAGGGGGGGAGAGAATTAATAACAGAAGGTTGACCAGTCAGTCTGGTTTCCTTTTGATCTGGTTTCTTCAGCTTGTACATTCTGATCTGGCGGTCTTTTGCATCAATGGTGCAATATCAGCTGGAAAGCATTAAGAAGGCCGTGGGCCCAGAAACCAGCAAATGAACACAACACTCAAAAAGGGTTTAGGTCTTGCACCCCACTTTTAAAATACCGAACTGTCTCTCAATTTCAGGACTGGAGCACCCATACCTATTATTCCCAGCATTCGCTAAGAGGATTTGCTGACAAAAAGATTTTGTACTGGCTGAAAAGTAAATGCAATGTCTAGTTTGTGGAAATGGATTGACCCCCAGTGTTCCCTCTAAGCTGAGTTAGTGTGAGTTAGCTCACAGTTTTTTAGCCTCCGGTTCACACATTTTTTTCTTTGCTCAGGAAGGGTGGCTCCAGAGCAAACAAATTTATGCAGTAGCCAAATCACTCGCTCACAACTTGAATGCCAGGAGCTCACAAAATAGAATTTTTGCTCACAAGACTCCACAGCTTAGAGGGAGCATTGGTTGAGCCTCCACATACAGAAGTACACTACCTCTGAGTGTCGGATGCTGGGAATTAACAGGTTGTTACCTTTGTACCCCACTTGCAAAAGCCTATGGGGCACCCGTCTGCTCCGTGTTGATGACAGAGCGCTGTTCTGATCCAAAAGGGATTTCCTTATGTTCTTACGTATGCTTTGCTTTTATAAAAAGCAACCCAGAAGCAAACTTTACAAAAATTAGAAGGAAACTCTTACGGGGCCTAAACTATGCATGGCCAAATTAGGTTTTAAATTAAAAGGCAACCCTGAAGTCATTCCAAGGAATAATTCTCTGGGGGAATTTTGGAGGCACGCTAGATTTCTTTGGGAATCACCTCCAAAAAACTGGCCGACGTTCATCTCTGAAGCCCTCCCAAGTTTCATTTCATGTCGAGCTTGGCACACTCCATTTCTCTGAAACCTTCGACCGCATACCCAAAGAGGTGTGATCCATCACGTGTTCACCTTCAAGAAGCTCCGGCCCAAAAGCCGCATGGCTATCTCTATCGGCATGCAAAACCCCCCATCTAAAAGACAAGGGAACTGCTAACGGTTATGTCTCATCCCCCTCCCCCTTTCTGCAGAAGCTCAGCGGCGACCATACTACGCAGACTACTCACCGGTGCGAAAGTACATCCACACTCTCTGCACGAGTCACTATTTGGATCTCTTCATCACCTTTATCATTGGGGTCAACGTCATCACTATGTCCATGGAACACTTCAACCAACCGAAGGTAAGGACACTGTGGATTTGGTCGCTGGGGAAAGGAGTGGAACATGGATTCGGTCCCTGGCATTGGCCCTTTCCACACTAGACCTTTAATCCTGGTTCAGTGCTGTCTCCTACTAGCTATTCTGCACTACACTCGAGTGTCAATTCTGCATTGCATTGTGGTCACCCTGGGTTCACACTGCCATTGCCCCGGGGTATATGGATCCTGTTTTGCCGCAGGCTCCCCTCAATCCAGAGTGGCCCCAGTGCAGATTCAAGCGTAGAATTTTTAAGTCAGTTTCGATCCTCCCCTCCCCTTTCCCGCCGTACCTAGGACATACACCCCTGTTTGCGATGCGGAATTTATAACCTGGGACAGGCAAGCAAACTGGAACTGGATAAAATTAGTGCAGAAAACAACAGATAAGCAGAGATAATGGTAAGGTAAATGGCTGCGAGTCGGACACAGAGAAAACCTGGGGTGAGGTCCAAACGCGGAAAGGGCCATTGCGGTTGGAAAGGATCCAGACAAACACAGGGGTAAAAGGTCTTTCTGCCTAAAATCTTGCAGAGAGAAACCATTGGACTCTTGTTCAAGACACATTATTGATATGTTCATACTTTAATTGTACTGTTAAAACCCACATGGACTACAACAGAACAAAGATACCCTCAATATAGGGTTGCAAAAAAACTTCGCCATACAGAAGGTAACGATGCAATCAGAATCGGAAAGAAGCCAAGTAATCGTAGATTCAATTGTCGTACTAGACTCCGGAATTAGAGAAAATAAAGGCAAAATAAATTTTTTCCTAGCTTCAGCTCTCAAATGGGCAGTCAAATACAATATGTTCTGTGGTCTCAATTTTCCCTGTAGGGCATGAGTAAATTCTTTCAGAACAGGGAATCCTTGAATAACATCCCATTAACACTGCTGATGGTGTCGTCATAAAGGCTCATCGTAACTTGGGGGCCATCGATGTTTATAAATATTTTGGTATTTTATGCTGGAAAGGGAGTCAAACTCGCTGGGCACGAAAACATGTCCGTACGAAAATTCTATGGCAGGTGAGGCAAATTTATCAAGGATTAGCCTATGAAGGGCTGTTAGTCATGACTGCCCAATGGAACATCTGTGCTCAGGAGCAGTGTATCTGTGATTTACCAAATCACACAGACCTAGGGTGGCCAACTCTGGGATCCAAAATTCCTGGAAATTTGGGGGTAGAACCTGAGGAGGGCAAAGTCTGGAGAAGGAAGGGTGCTCGGTAAGGATGTAAGGCCATAGAGTCCACCCTCCAAAGCAGCCATTTTCTCCAGGGCCAACTCTGTAGTTTGGAGAGTAGTTGAAATCCCAGAAGATCTCCAGGCCCCACCTGGAAGCTGGCAAACCTACACAGACCATTAAAAGCAAACCGCTATCTCCATCATGTCCTGTCTGCAAAAGAGTGTGTCGGACTGGGTAAAATCAGAAGTTGGCGCTTTTCTTGGCACTCAGTTTCATAGTGCAATCCCAAACAGAGCTGCATGCTTCTTTAACCCCCTAGACTTGGAAGAATTTAACTCTTTTTAGATTTTAACTCAGTTATGGAAAGAGGTTCACCTTTTGATTTCTTACTGTCATGTAGCTGTTACAGGGAGGAGATCCTTGCCAGAAGAAAGAGTTGGCACCTCTACCTATATCCATAAAGCTCGACATGTTCCACATATGAAGAACCTTGGGGAATATTGTCTTCCCCTATTGTTGAGGTCACCGAGGGAGGACTCGTTTGGGGTTTCCCTAACCCCTTGAGAGATTAGATCAGTGAGTGCCTGCAGGGCCTTTTAGCTCATTGCACCACGTCTATGGAAAACCTCTCCCTAGAGATCTCTGCCTGGCAACTTTTTTACCAGGTTTCTGTTGTCAAGCAAAATCATGCTTATTGCTCCAGGTGTTTCCTTTTTATTTGGCTGGCAAAGTCTGATATTTTATATCGAACTGCATGTTGAGGCCAGATTGAGCCCGGTATTTTATCTTTTTATCTTTTTATCTGAGCGGGATACATTTCCTCCCCTTCGCTGTTCTGTATGTTTAGAAAGCAATTCTTAAATTATTTAAGTAACCAAACAGACGTGAGGAGACGCCCGTTCTGCCTTGCGGGTATTTCTATTTGCAATGTAAATGCGGACCAGACTGGAATGTGACATTAGAGGGAGCAGGGGTAAATTCTACTAGACAGTTTGCAGTGGAGGCCAAGCGCTTTGTGTCAAATCTGGTTCGGTCTGCTCGAGGTCAGGAAATGATGCTCTTTGGCTAGGTGTATTACGGCGGAAGCGGATGCATCACAGTGGAGAAACCTGACCTAACGCCTCCCTTTGATTCCTTACAGTCATTGGACGAAGCACTAAAATATTGCAACTACATTTTCACCATCGTGTTCGTGGTTGAAGCCGTGTTGAAGCTGGTAGCCTTCGGATTACGGAGATTCTTCAAAGACAGGTTTGATCAGTGGTTGGTGGGCTCCTGTCAATGTGATTTTTAGAGCACTTGTCCCCCAATCTTCTTCCAGCCTGTGGGCACCTTTGGAATTCTGACCCTGGATGGTGGCCACAGCCACAAAATGGCTGCCGCGGGAGGCCGAGCCTGCCACAAAATGGCTTCTGCAGCTTACCTTCAAGAACACTGTTGTGTCTGGACACATGCAATCTTCCACTCAGGCTTCACTGCTGCGGGTGCTAGTAGCCAGCATAAGAAGGCATGCCTGGGCTTGTCTGGCAGGCCACTTAGATGGACAGTGGGGAGGCATGTCTGGGCTTGTCTGGGCAGGCCACCTAGTTGGAGCTTGAAGCTCCAGAACAAAGACAGGCAGGATCCTGGAACCTGCCTACAGATTGGCCCCTGAGGGCAGCCAGCCAATCTGGAGCCCAGAGGCCATTTGAACTCACCAATCGCATGGGGGCTGGGAGTGGCTTAGGTGTATACAGTTTGGGCAGTTGCCCCGTATAAAGCATTCCTGTTGAGAGGCAATAAACTGCAGCTTGTTGAAATTGCTCTGCCTTCGCCTCTGCCGTGTTGAACCCACTACTTGACGAGCACAGTGCAGAGGCTTGTGCTGTGGTGGCAGCTGCTGCCAAAATGATGTTCTTTAAAAAACTGCACAGCCATTCAAATCGCCAGTGGCCAATCAGAAGCCTTGCTGGGCATAAGCACCACCTGGCTCCACCCACTTTCTTCAAGCATGTGGCAGGAGTCAGGAAAGGTGTCGAGAGGCACCGTGGCACCCACAGTTACCACACTGGGGACCCCCGTCTTAGAGACTAATTCTTTCATCCCTGGAGCCTCTCTTGCCCCGAAACAAGGAGCCAGTTCTGGATTTCCTCCCGCTCACTGGAGCAGAAGTTGGCTGAGAAGAGCAGATGTACCTATTTGGGAAAAACGGCCACCATTTCTCTGAGGATGCTTGGGCTGGGTCCTCCCATTGTTTCGTGGGACCTCCTGAAGTTTCATGATTGGACCGAGTCTCCCCGGCAGCCATTTTGTGATTGGTCCCTCCTACTCCCATGGCAGCCATTTTGTGAGCAGTCCCTCCCACCCCCATGGCAGCCATTTTGTGGTGGCGCCCACTAGCTGTTCTCAAAATTCCAAATAGATACAAAGAGACCTCCCAGTTTGCAAATATTCAATGTTACAGAAACCGGGGAGACGTTATTATGCAAAAATATTATTTTTTATACAATTATACAGATTGGAAATTACTATAATAAAATATCTTATGTACCAGTTAATGAGGCGGTGGCGCAGGCAGTAAAACGCCTGCCTTAAAAACAACACTCGAGCAGCCACTATGGCTGTTCGAGAACCACCGCGGTCGGGGTGAGCACCCGATCCTAGCTCCAGCTCCCGCCCACCCAGCGGTTCGAAAGCAGAACGTAACTCATAAAACTGCGAGTAGAAAAATGGGTACCTACCCTTAGAAGGGTAGGGGGCACCCTCCTCCCTCATGAGGCGTGTGGTGGATGGCGAAGGAACAACAATGGCGGCGAACGGCGAGACGAGGACGGTGGAGGCAGAAACAGCCCTGGCAGCAGAGACGGCGGACGGCGCAGCGGCGACTAGAGCCAGAAGAGCGATCCCTGGTGGCCTGCGGGGAACATCGAAGCAGCCGTCGCTGTTGCCGGCAGCAGAAAAAAGGCGCCCGATGACGTCATCCCCAGGCGCGGCAGAGCCTGAGGGACACAGCCGGAGCCGGGAGAGCGGATTCGCGCGTCCTAGAAAGCTGCCGCCAAAAAAAATGTGCCGGAAGAACGAAGCCCCGCCGGAAAAAGGAAGACCTGAGCAGTCAGAACAGAAGCCAGAAAGCCGAGCCGAAACCGGAGAGATCAGCCACCACCTGGGTGCTGGTAGGATTCCCACCCCTGTATAATGTGGCCGTAGCTAGAAATGTAACATGTGGCTAGCACAACAATGTAAACCACCCAGAGACCCCCACGGGGGTTAGGGCGGTATAAGAAATCGAAGTAAATAAATAAATAAATAAATTTTATTCTCCAGTCTTTTCCTTTGCTTTTCAAAGCTTATATTCCTAAGGTAAAATAATTTACAAGCCATTATTAAATTTACCTATATAATCATTACTTAATTTTTTAATTATTATTATCCATTCTATAAGGAGACAACCACTCACCAAATAGGAAACAACAATCTTCATATCAGGCTCCAATCCAATCTGCTAAGCGCTACTGAGTGTTAGAATGCCTTAACGCTCTGATGTGCTGTTAGCCTATATACATTAAATGGTACATAAGATATTTTATTATAGTAATTTCCAATCTGTATTTCTTGTGATTCTCTTTATTATTTGTTTATTTCATTATATTTATACCCAGCCCTCCCCACAACGAGGCACAAAGTGCATACAATACAAAATAGGTAAAACAGTTAAAATTCAGTTCAATGAGGATGCAAGAATAGAAAGATCCCAACATCTTGCGCGCCAGAAGGGGGAGGGCCAGGGCCGTAGATAGATGTTACTCAGCCCTCCGGTGGTATCACTCTATAATGGAGTGGTGGTGGTAGTGGTAGTGGCAGTGGCGGCTTCTACTCGAAAGCCTGGCAGAAGAGCTCCGTCTTACAGGCCCTGCGGAACTGCAAAAGGTCCCGCAGGGTCCTGATCTCCTCCGGGAGCTCATTCCACCAGATAGGAGATGCCACTGAAAAGGACCTGGCCCTCGTTGCCGCAAGCCTGGCCTCCTTGGGGCCCGGGGTCACCAGCCGGTGTTGTGACCCCGACCGAAGTGCTCTTTGGGGCATATGTGGGGAAATGCGGTCCCTCAGGTATGTCGGACCCTGGCCATGTAGGGCTTTAAAGGTAAGCACCAGCACTTTGAAGCGAATCCGGTCTGCTATAGGCAGCCAGTACAGCGCTTTCAGTACAGGTTGGGTGTGCTCCGACCTAGGGGTGCCTACCAACAGCCTGGCTGCAGCATTCTGCACCAGCTGCAGCTTCCGGATTTGCGACAAAGGCAGCCCCATGTAGAGAGCGTTACAGTAGTCTAGCCTTGAGGTGACCATCGCATGGATCACTGTAGCTAGGTCATTGCGGTCAAGGAAAGGAACCAACTGCCGTACCAGCCGAAGATGATAAAAAGCCGATCTGGCAGTGGCTGCCACCTGGGCCTCCATCGTTAAGGTGGGGCCCAGGAGTACTCCAAGACTCCTAACCTCCGAAGCTGGCACCAAAGGTGCCCCGTCGAAGGTCGGAAACGGGAGCCCCAACCCCGGTCTGGTCCTACTCAAGCACAGGACCTTTGTCTTCGCCGGGTTTAATTTCGGCCTGCTCAGTCTGAGCCACCCAGCCACGGCTTGTAAAGCCCGGTGCAGATCTTCTGGGTTGGAGATATATGTTAAACAGCATCGGGGAAAGCACTGCCCCCTGAGGCACCCCACATTCAAGTGGGTGCCTCTGGGACTGCTGTTCCCCTAGCACTACCCTCTGTCCCCGACCTTGGAAAAACGAGGCAAGCCATTGAAGGGTGAGCCCCTGGATCCCCACGTTGGCAAGGAGGTGGGTCAGCAGCTGATGGTCGACCGTATAAAATGCAGCCGACAGGTCTAACAACAACAGCGCTGCCACACCGCCTCGATCCAGATGCCTATGGAGGTCATCAGTAAGGGCAACCAGCACTGTCTCCATCCCATGTCCCGGGCGAAAACCAGACTAGAATGGGTCAAGGACAGAAGCGTCATCCAGGAAGCTCTGTAACTGAGTCGTATGTAAACTCTGGAAAATTGAAAATAAAACAATTTTAAAAAAAGAAAAAAAAATCCAAAGGCACCCACAATTTCGCCAAGTTTTTTGGGGGGTGGGGTCACTGAATGAGATCACTGTGTTGGGCTGAAAGCTTCACAGTATTGACCACAGGTACCGAAAGCAACTGTGGCACGGTTGTAAAAATCGATGGATTTTAGAAGTTTCTAGTCTGCCTCTTAGCAATTGTGCTCCCAAAACGTTTTCCTGTTAGATGGACTAAAACCGTGTGCTTCGGTCATCTTCCCCCGAGGTCGCCCAGCCTCAGCTTCCCCATCTTTAAAATGGGCGTAATAAGATTGACTTCACCGTCTGTTCCGTCTCTGCCTGCCTCCAAGGAGTTCAGCATGGTGTTGAGGAATTCTGGGGGCCAGGTCCTTTTCCTGGGGACCAGTGTTCCCTCTAAGCTGAGTTAGTGTGAGCTAGCTCCCAGTCTTTTAGCCTCCGGCTCACACCTTTTTGTCTTAGCTCAGGAAGGATGGCTCCAGAGCAAACTAATTCATGCAGTAGCCAAATCGCTCGCTCACAACTTTCATGCCGGTAGCTCACAGGGTAGAACTTTTGCTCACAAGCTTAGAGGGAGCATTGCTTCTGGAGTATAGAAACATCCTCTAAGGCAAAAATCACAGAGTTATCGGTACCAGAAGGCCACAGGACCAGCAGAGTCCTGTAGCCTCCTGGGAAACAGAACCAAAGATCCAACTTACATATAACTATAGAAATTAAAGCAACGGGTTTAGCAGAGGACTGAGGCTGAATCCAGGACCTAATTCTGCGACACACGGTTCCAATTTTCTCCCTTTTGTCTGGTGACGACCAGTGCTCCCTCTAAGCTGAGTTAGTGTGAGCTAGCTCAGTTTTTTAGCCTCCAGCTCACACATTTGTGTCTTAGCTCAGCAACGATGGCTCCAGAGCAGACTAATTTATGTAGTAGCCAAATTGCTCACTCACAGCTTTCATGCCAGTAGCTCACAAAGTAGAATTTTTGCTCACGAGACTCCACGGCTTAGAGGGAGCATTGGTGACGACCCTGTAAAGTACATTAGGCTGGGGGACGATGTTGCACTGTGGGTTCTGAACCTGGGTCTCCCCAACCAGACCTCCACCTCAAATTGGCTCCCTGTCTTTAAGAGGGAGTGTGCGTGTTGCATCTTGAACATGGCCAAAGTACAGCCCAAAACTCGTGCAGCAGCCCAGAGATACCGCCCTTAATGCCTCGTGTTTAGTGCCTTTAGGATTGGGCGCCTGCCTGGCTCCTCCCAACTCTGCTGTTCCGCCTTTCCGTTTCTCCTCGGTCAGGTGGAACCAGCTCGATCTCGCCATCGTCCTGCTGTCCATCATGGGGATCACCTTGGAGGAAATCGAAATGAACGCCGCCCTCCCCATCAATCCAACCATCATCCGCATCATGCGGGTTCTCCGGATCGCGAGAGGTGAGCAAAGGAACCGGCCCTGGGGGTTTCTGTGACCACTGAACGAGCCAACCTGCAGCTGGCTCTCTTAAGCACCTTGTGTGGCCAGAGATTTAAAGCGGACCCCTTTGAGGTATATATTGGGTTAAATGTAAAACAATAATTTGACTTGGAAGCACGGAAGCCTTACACACGATCCCCGATCCTCCATGTTTCCCGGTTAAGGGGGAAATGCTCTTCGAGCAAATTACAAAGATGATCTGACTTCAATGGCAACAAGAGAAAGCCCAGGTATGAGAGGGAAGAAGAGAAGGTCCTATACAGGGGTCATTTCGTAGAAAAAGAGGTGGAGGAGCTCATTAGCATAACTCATTAGCATAACTTATTTGCATATGCCACACCCCCTGACATCACCGGAAGTGTGTCAGAAGGCAACACCCACCGCTCAGGCTCCACTGGACTGTTCTGGATTGCTAGCTATTGGGCGGGGGACGTGCAGATCTGTCCTCACAGAGGAGGGAGAGCTTGTACCTGAATAAAACTTGGTCTTAAAGGTGCCACTGGACTGTTTTGGGCCAGGGGGGCCCTCTGCAACCTACCTGGCTACTTCTTGCTCTGACTGAGGGCTGCTGGGAGAAAGGGGTGGGGCTTGTTGCATGTGCCTGCCCCCTGGGCCCTTTACTGCCGGAGCTCCACTCCTGTGCGCTTCTGCAGGAAATGACCCCTGGTCCTATATAAGATGAAACACAGAAGGCAAGCTATGGCCAAAGAGGCTCCACATCTAACCCTTGAGAGGGTGGGGTCAACTGCCAAGTGAGATGATTCTCTTAACCCTTTCCCTCCCAGATCCTCTTGCATGCAGAATTACAATATCCAACAGTATAAACCCTGTGTTCTGCCCCTTCATTGCACCTCTGAAAAGTGAGAGGCCCCATACGATTGCCAGTATGACTCCCCACGCAATGCACAAACACACAAGAGGTCTTCCCAGCAGACAAAATTCTATGCAGCAGGAGTCCTCAGGCCAAATCCCCTTTCTCCAACAGCCTATTTGCACAACCAAACAAACCCTGAAATGATTTACTTATTATTTATTATTGAACTGTTTCACTAATACATCGCCTTTCTCCCCAGTGGGGAATCAAAGAGTTCTTACATCATTCTTCAGTTTATCCTCACAATGACCCTGCAAGGTAGGTTAGGCTGAGAGTGCAGGACTGGCCCAAGTTCACCCAGCAAGTTCCCGTTGGCAGAGCGGGGATTCAAACCTGGGTCTCCCAGAGCTAAGTCTGATGCTCTAACCACTACACCACGCTGCCTCTCACTGAATACTGAAATGAGGGACAGCAGCAGAAGTCTTCAGTTATACTTTGCACCCTTCTAGGAGCTTTCAGACGACCTCTTTGCCTGCTAGATAAAGTGTCCTCCTCAGCACTCATTCCTGCAACCAAGGGTTGTGTGAATGAGCTCGAGAGTAATGTTTTCATTGGTTCTCCTCTTGGGAAAAAGGCCCCCTGCCAGATCCTTCTTACCCAGCCACCGTCCGTCCATCCCCCCAGGTGGCTGGACAAATGTCTCATAGAAATTGACAGCTGGGTATAAAAGTGGCAGTCCTGCCCTGTTATAAACTCCTTTTATTGGAGGTTAAGAGGTAGACTGCCTCTGGACCTGGCTGCTCCATTCTTCACTGACTCCGGTTTGCTCTCCCTTCTAGTACTGAAGCTGCTCAAGATGGCGACGGGGATGCGGGCTCTGCTAGATACGGTGGTCCAAGCTCTGCCCCAGGTAAGCCCAGAGGTCCTGTCGTGTTCAGGCAAATCCATTCTCCAGGACATTTTGGGTTTTGTTTTTTTAATCAGGCCTTGAATTGGATGTTGTTTTCTAAACTTACAGACAAGCCACACAGAACTGTGTCTCTGTCAAGAGAAGCCACAGACAAAATCGTGTGCGAAAGCACAGAATTATGTGGCATTTCCTACCCAGAATCCCTAGCAATGTGTCCTGCATTTGATGTGAATGCCAGAGGGGCAGAGCTCTATATCAGACACAGCATTTAATGGGTCAGCTTTATATCGGACACAGCATTTTAACAGTGGTTCTCCAACTATAGCATAATCCCAGTTTCGCCATTCGTCTTGGTGGGCCCACAAACGGCAGAAATGAGGCCTTCTGATGCTGGTATTGCTGGATAATTTGCGAATTAAACGAAGTTCCACAATCTGAATTTAACCCCTTTGCTCCCCATTGGGAGCATTTTACTGCCTCTGGACATGATCACCATGTCTAGTAGCACTTGATGAACCTTCTACCAGAAATCTGTCTAATTGGGGGGGGGGGGTCCCGTATGCTCGTGGTTTCTCGTTATGTCCATGGCCATGAATTTCACAATTCGATTACTTGTTGATGAAAGAAGTACTTCCTTCTGTCTCTTCCTGAATCTATTGCCCATGAACGTCAAGTTCTAGTATGTTGGGAGACGGGGGATAAGGTTCTCAATGGTCCTTTCCGCAGTTGGATCCCGTCCCTGGTTTTATCAGAGTTCCACTCGTGACACAATACCTTGCAGTTATCCCTGGTTATAACAGCATCCGTTTATCCCAGGACAAGTGTGGGGCAAAACCAGGGTGACCTCAATGTAATGTGGAAACAGAAAATACTCTGAGATAATTACAGGGGTGAACTTGAGTGTTGTGTAGAATGTAAAAATACTCCGAGATAATTACGGGAGTGAACTCGAGTGTCGTGTAGAATGTAAAAATACCCCGAGATAATTACAGGGGTGAACTCGAGTGTCGTGTAGAATGTAAAAATACCCTGAGATAATTACAGGGGTGAACTTGAGTGTCATGTAGAATGTAAAAATACCCCGAGATAATTACAGGGGTGAACTCGAGTGTCGTGTAGAATGTAAAAATACCCCGAGATAATTACAGGGGTGAACTTGAGTGTAGTGTAAGTTCAGGGACAGGGGTTGAACCAGGATTTAAGGTCTAGTGTGGAATCACCCAATGTCTACTTTCTCCACTGCAGTTAGTGGGTTGCCATCCTCCTGGTAGGGCCTGGAGATCTCCCGGAATGACAACTGATCTCCAGACTACAGGGCACTGGGATATTTGGTTAATATCAAAGAGTTTTGCCCATTCGTAGAAGTGTGATCCCGAGTGCAGGAAACAAATCTCCCGAGAAGTATATTGCAAAAAAGGTGAACTTACATTTATTCAGGATGATCCAGTTCATATTCTGGTTGCAGCCGAAAGGAGAGAGAGAAGCCTCATCTAAAGCATACTTTCCCTATCATCAATGGCCAGCTTGTCCGGTATCATGTGGGTGGACGTATGAGGGGATTGTATCTACAGGAAAGACCTGCAGAGACCTGTGTCTCCATGGAAAGCCATGAGAAGAGAGGGAGAAGACAAAGGGATAGGAGGGGTCAGAGGGTGGCTCCCAGGTTAAGACAAAGAGAGACATCCCATTCAAGGAGAGAATACCCTTAGAGTGATGTAGTGCTCCCTGATATCCAGGCGTGCTGAGTCACTCTCTTCACCAACGGAGTGATCTGTCCTCCTGCAGAAAATGGCTGTTTTGGAGGGTGGACGCTACAGCATTATTATACCCCACTGAGGTCCCTCCCCTCCCCAAATCCTGCCCTCCCCAGTCTCCAGCCCCAAATCGCCAGGAATTCCCCAACTGGGACTCGGCAACCCAAACCCCAGTGCATAATTGGGGTTTGGAAGAGTCTGGAAATGCTACCGTACTGTGTGTTTCGAAGTTCACTCCTGAAGACTAAAACAGTACATTTGGACAGAAGGCAGGGAAAGTGTTTCCGAGGCATCCCTGCCGCGTTACAAATATCACATTCCCCGCCATAATTGCAGATATAATTGCGTTTCCCGGAGAACACCTTTTCAAACTGTGTTTAGAATGAGGGCTCTGTTGAGACGGCGCATTGCTCTTGTCGTTTAAAGAAATTATCCAGATGCAAAACCCAGGTTGATGAGTGCGATCGATGTCAGTCTGAAAGACCTATTGGGGGGGGGGGGTGTTTAAGTACTTTCTAGGGCCCTAAATTAAAGGCAGAATGAAGGGGAATTGCATCCGTCTCTGGGATGCCGAAGAGCAGATGTTTTCCATGGTGGAAAATAGGAAAAGGGCTCCCCATTCTCTGATTCAGCCCACCTGAGGACGGGGAGGCGCTTCTGCTGGGAGGAGATGAATGCCTCCCCAAGAGGGGAAGGGTGCATTGCCGGGCGATGGGGCTTGGAGACGGTGGACCGGCCGCCACTTTGCATCTGAAAGAATGCTGCACGGACTTGCTTAGGTGGGAACGGCAGAGCATGTTCAACACATCCAAGTGGGGATTTTTAAAAAATGTTACAAGCAGGAGTAGGTGGAATAGTAATTGTACTTAACTGCCTCCTGGCTTAGCAACCAGTCTTGTGGGGATATCGTGGATGACGGCGTGGCTTATGCATTTAAGGGTTTGTGGACTGCGATTCAACAGAAAGGAACGTGAAGCTGGTTTCTACTGAATCAGACCAGCAGTCCATAAGTCTTGTCTACTCCAACTGGCAGTGGCTCTCCCGGGTCTCAGGCGGAGATCTTTCACATCACCCATTTCCTGGTCCTTTTTAACAGGAGATGCCGAGGATTCAAACTGGGACCTTCTGCGTACTAAGCAGATGCTCTACCACTGAGCCACAGCCCCTCTTTACAACTCTCCGGGGTCTCAGGTGGAGGTCTTTCCCATCACCTACTTCCTGGTTCTATTTAACTGGAGATGCCGGGGATTGAACTTGGGACCTTCTGCATGCCAAGCAGATGCTCTGCCACTGAGCCACAGCCCCTCTTGACAGCTCTCCAGGGTCTCAGGCGGGGGTCTTTCACATCACCCACTTCCTGGTCCTTTTAACTGGAGATGCCGGGGACTGAACCTGGGACCTTCTGCATGCCAAGCAGACGCTCTACCGCTGAGCCACAGCCCCTCTTTACAGCTCTCCGGGGTCTCAGGCGGAGGTCTTTCACCATCACCTCCTGCCTTGCCCTTTTAACTGGAGATGCCGGGGACTGGAACTGGTACCTTCTGAGTCTCTTTCTGGGGAGGAAACTGAAGGGAAAAGTAGAAAGGGTCAAAACCATTGGGGAAGCTTGAAAACTATTTAAAACTACGATTCTAGAAGCTCAAAAAATATATATTCCGCAGGTTGGGAAAGGTACAAACAGGTATAGGGAAAAGCCTTCATGGTTAACAAACAAAGTAATGGAAGCTGTAAAAGGTAAAAAGGATTTCTTTAAGCGGTGGAAAGCTAGCCACAATGAGGCTGATAAAACGGAACACAGGCTATGGCAAATAAAATGCAAGTCTGTGGTCAGGCAGGCAAAAAGGGAATATGAGGAGCATATAGCAAAAAACATAAAGACCAACAATAAAACTTTCTTCAAATACATTAGAAGCAGGAAACCAGCCAGGGAGGCAGTGGGGCCCTTGGATGACCAAGGGGTAAAAGGAGTACTGAAGGATGATAGGGAAATGGCTGAGAAGCTAAATGCATTTTTTGCCTCCGTCTTCACTGTGGAAGATGAGAGGTGCTTGCCCACTCCAGAGCCGCTGAGTTCGGGAGGGGTGTTGAAAGACCTGAGTCAGATTGAGGTGACGAGAGAGGAGGTCCTAAAACTGATAAACAACTTAAAAACTGATAAATCACCAGGCCCAGATGGCATACATCCAAGAGTTCTGAAAGAACTCAATTGTGAACTTGTGGATCTCCTGACAAAAATATGTAATCTCTCCTTAAAATCAGCCTCCATTCCTGAGGACTGGAAGGTAGCTAATGTCACTCCCATCTTTAAAAAGGGTTCCAGAGGAGATCCGGGAAATTACAGGCCAGTCAGTCTGACGTCGATACCGGGTAAATTGGTGGAAACCATTATTAAGGAAAGAATTAGTAGGCACATAGATGAACAAAACCTATTGAGGCAGACTCAACATGGGTTCTGTAAGGGAAGATCTTGTCTCACTAACCTGTTAATGTTCTTTGAGGGGGTGAACAAACATGTGGACAAGGGGGATCCAATAGATATTGTTTACCTTGACTTCCAGAAAGCTTTTGATAAAGTTCCTCATCAAAGGCTCCTAAGCAAGCTCAAAAATCATGGGATAAAAGGACAAGTCCTTTTATGGATCAAAAACTGGCTAATTAATAGAAAACAGAGAGTGAGTATAAATGGGCAGTTCTCCCAGTGGAGGGGTGTAAGCAGTGGGGTACCACAGGGATCAGTACTTGGTCCACTGCTTTTTAACTTGTTCATTAATGATTTGGAGTTGGGAGTAAGCAGTGAAGTGGCTAAATTTGCGGATGATACGAAGTTGTTCAGGGTGGTGAAAACCAGTGAGGATTGTGAGGCACTCCAAAGGGATCTGTCAAAGTTGGGCGAGTGGGCGTCAACATGGCAAATGGGGTTCAATGTGGCCAAGTGCAAGGTGATGCACATTGGAGCCAAAAATCCTAACTATAAATACACGTTGATGGGGTCTGAACTGGCAGAGACAGATCAAGAGAGAGATCTTGGAGTTGTAGTAGATAACTCACTGAAAATGTCGAGACAGTGTGTGACTGCAATAAAGAAGGCCAATGCTATGCTGGGGATTATTAGGAAGGGTATTGTAAACAGATCAGCCAATATCATAATGCCGCTATATAAATCAATGGTGCGACCTCATCTGGAATACTGTGTGCAATTCTGGTCACCACACCTTAAAAAGGATATTATAGCTTTGGAAAAAGTGCAGAAAAGAGCAACTCGAATGATAAAAGGGTTGGAACACTTTCCCTATGAGGAACGGTTAAGGCGCTTAGGGCTCTTTAGCTTGGAGAAACGACGACTGAGGGGTGACATGATTGAGGTTTATAAGATTATGCATGGGAAAGAGCAGGTAGAGAAAGAGGTACTTTTCTCCCTTTCTCACAATACAAGAACTCGTGGGCACTCCATGAAACTGCTGAGTGGCCAGGTTAGAACGGATAAAAGGAAGTACTTCTTCACCCAAAGAGTGATTAACACATGGGATTCACTGCCACAGGAAGTGGTGGCAGCTACAAGCATGGACGGCTTCAAAAGGGAATTAGATAAGCATATGGAGCAGAGGTCCATCAGTGGCTATTAGCCACAAGGTATAGATAGAGGCTCTGGGGCAAGTGATGCTCTGTCATCTTGGTGCTTGGGGGGGTCAACAGTGGGAGGGCTTCTAATGTCCTGGCCCCACTGGTGGACCTCCTGATGGCACCTGGTATTTCTGGCCACTGTGTGACACAGAGTGTTGGACTGGATGGGCCTTTGGCCTGATCCAACATTGGCATCTCTTATGTTCTTATGTAACATGGACATGAATTGATGATGGGACAGGACTTAAAAAATTTAAAACCTTGGGAAGTCTTTCAAGACACTGGGCACAGGCACTTTACCTTTTCTATGTAATTATAAAAAGGATGTTAACACCGCTTATGAAATATTCATAAGACTGTTTACACTAAACGTCTTAATCACATTGCAGCTGTTGTTCTTGCTGTTGTTGGTCTTAAAGGTGCCACTGGACTCTAGTTTTGTTCTACGGTTGTATGTAGTCTGGTTGTTTCACCGCCTGAAGGCTGCCCATGTGCAGGAGGTGAGCTGCGGCAAAAACCCGGTGCGGAAGCCCCGTTCCGCTTGTGATTCTTGTTCCGCTCCTTCTTTTCTAGGTGGGCAATCTGGGTTTGCTCTTCATGCTCCTGTTTTTTATCTATGCTGCCCTGGGAGTGGAGTTATTCGGGAAGTTAGGTGAGTCTCTTTCGCTCTGTTGTCTTCCTTTTTCCAGTAAGTATACATACAGATACAGTTGTTAAGTTCGACTCGAACTAGTGTATCTTTAATTATCTTAGTCCAGAACATGCTACAATGAAAAACAACTACAAACTCTGTCAGAAACAATCTCCAGTGTTAACTTTCCAGATCTGCATGTATCGATCACGAGGTCCCCCCTAACCCTAACCCTAACCCTTGTTTGCATCCTAAAAGACACTTCTCTCCACAAGTAAAAAACTGTTAAGTTTCTCCAGATCAGTTGATTCTAATGGGAAGCCACTAGAAATCTTTACAAACTGGGTATGCAGCTTAATCTATTCAAGTAGTTCAGCAGTTCGAGACCCGGGTGCCACATGACGGAGTAAGCTCCCGTCTCTAGTTCCAGCTCCTGCCAACCTAGCAGTTTGAAAGCAATAAATTGCAAGTAGATAAATAGGGACCACTTCGGTAGGAAGGTAACAGCGTTCCGTGCGCCTCGGCGTCTAGTCATGCCAGCCACATGACCACGGAGAAGTCTTTGGACAGTGCTGGCTCTTTGGCTTGGAAACGGAGAGGAGCATCGCATCCCTAGAGTCGGATTCGACTCGCTTTCAAGCAAGGGAAACCTTTACCTAAACCTGCCCTCCAAAGTGAAAGCTGCCCTCCAAACGTCTTCCTTATTCCACCCTAGTGCCCTGTCGCCATAACCTGTTGTCGAGAGGAGTAGTCAGTTTCTTCCACAGTGGGTTGGGGACACACGCTGTGAGCATCTACTGGCTTTTATTTTCATGAAATGGCTTATTTGGTCTCCTTTCTGAGTCCTGACTGACTCAGGACCCAAAATGTAAATTAAAAAAAAAATAACAGTATAAGGTACAATATTGAGTGTAGAGCGTCATCCCGGGGTCTGGGAGACGCAGGTTCAAATCCCAACTCTGCCATGGCCACTCGCTGGGTGACCTTGGGCCTCTCACATGCTCTCAAGTCTAACCTACCTCACAGGTCAAGATGGGGAAGTGTCTTTGTCTGTCTGTAGCTGTAGAAAAAGAGCAAGAGTCCAGGAGCACCTTCAAGACTGCATCTAGCATTCGCTCCGCTGTTCTACCAAACCCACCCTGGAACAGAAATTCCCCTCTACATTGCAGGCCACTTTCGCTTTGATTGACTGTTGGATTTTTATGGCAGTGTCCAGTTTCACTTCGTTTGGGTTTTATGGAAGTGTCTGCATAGAGTTATGGCTGTTTTATGGCCATTCAGGGATGACTCTGCAGTCAGTATGGCAGTTGGGGGGGGGGTATTTGAATGTGGTTTTGAGCCGCATCTTTTTCTGTTCCGGTGTGGATCTGATAAAACAACAGGCCTCTCTGGGTGACGTCATCACACCAGGCATGTCGGCCTGATACAGGCACTTTGGGGGCGGGGTTCCCCCTGCTGGCTGGATCCAGGCCGGTGGACTGGGGGGGGGGCTACAGCAGGCAAAACCCCGCCCCCCCGGGGGGACCTGGCAGCCCTAGAAACTTCACATTCAGAGGCACTAATCCTCTGAATCCCAGTACCAGAAGGCAACATCAGGGGAAGGCCTCAGCCACTCTGCCCTGTGGTTGGCCCTCCAGAGGAACTGGTTGGCCCCTGTATTCATTGGGATCACTGATCTGATCCAGCAGGGCTCTTCTGAGGTTCTTCTCAGGGGGAGGCCTCGGCCTCTCTGCCCTGTTGCTGGCCCTCCAGAGGAGCTGGTTGGCCACTGTGTGAGACGGGATGCTGGACTAGATGGACCCTCACTCACCTGATCCAGCAGGGCTCTTCTGAGGTTCTTACATTCTTATCATCGCGTTCCTGCCACCACAGATGTGGTTGTTTTCGCTGTGTCGCAGAGTTCTTGGTGACACCATCTTCCCCCCCCCAAAAAAAAACCTGGCTTTTTCTGGAGTTCCACCTCTGCTGAATTTCTCCCCCAGACTGCAGTGAGGACAACCCTTGTGAAGGCCTGAGCCGCCATGCGACCTTCAACAACTTCGGCATGGCGTTCCTCACCCTCTTCAGGGTGTCAACCGGAGATAACTGGAACGGGATCATGAAGGTAAATCCCCCCCACCCCACGTCATTTTCCAGCTGACCCTTGTTCATTTGTGTAATGTTTGGCCTTCCATCCAGGTGAGACACACTCCCCCCTTTACCACCAATGGCATCGGTATCCTGACGCATCAGAGCAAACCTCAACCACATGAATGGTCTTAAAACATCTCAGGCCTGGCTATGTAGAAACTGACAAAGATTTGAGGTTCTCTCATCCCCTGGGACAGTGATAACAGCGATTATATATTAGCACTTAAATCAACGTGTAAAAAAATGTTGGCGACAGACTCGTAGCCAAAATGTTGTGGCTTGTGGGGCAATTTTTTTTCCTGCTGGGGCTGAAGTTGTCAGTGGAAAAAGAAAAGCCATTTAGCCCATAGAAAGCTGTTACCAGGATACATCTCCAAATTGCAAGCTGTCAACCACTTTAGATGACAGTTCTCAGCTGCTGAAAGTTAATCACTCCTGCCAGCCTAAGCGACAATTCTGATAAGAACCCAGCAGGTGGTGACTTCTATTGTCAAGAAAGCTAACACGTAGGCAGAAAAACTTTCTGAAAGGAGACCAGTTTAGTGACACAGAGTCAGAAGGCATCCTAGAGGTCACCTACTCCAACCCCCTTGCTCAGTGCGGGAATCAGTCAACTACAGTATCCCACTCTGCTTAAAGGAATGTGCACCCTTAAAAAACGTTTTAAAACGATTGAAAAAAGAATTTACAGGAGAAATTATTGTGGGACTCTGCCTTTAAGAAAGGGGCGGAGCCTCAAAAAGCCTGAGACAGCACTTGGCCATTATCACTTAAGGGAACCTCCCTGTAGAGAGTCAGTGGGGTAAAGGAGAGAGCTCATTCCTCCGTGGCCTGTTTGTATGCTCCTGGGCTGCCATTATGGGAAACGGGTTGCTGGACTGGATGGGCTGTGGTCTGTTGTGTGATTCTGACATCATTCTCCACCCACCCCCCCAGGACACCCTGCGGGAATGTCACCGCGACGACAAGCACTGCCTCACCTACCTGCCCATCATCTCCCCGGTCTATTTCGTCACCTTTGTCCTCATCGCCCAGTTCGTCCTGGTCAACGTGGTGGTGGCCGTCCTGATGAAGCACTTGGAGGAGAGCAATAAGGAGGCCAAGGAGGATGCCGAGATGGACGCCGAGATCGAGCTGGAGATGTCCCGGGCGGCCAACACCCCGGTCCGAACCCCGGATGGGGGAGGACCCCTGGGCAGCCACGACGTTTCCAAGCCAGGGTCACCCTTCCTGGTGAAACACCAAGGCCTGGTAAAAAGAACCAAACAAACTCTGCCAGATACATACAGTTCCTTCCTAAGGGTGTGGGGGTAGGAAAGAGGGTTGCCAAATCCTACCGGAATAATAGCGGGGGAGTACCATAGAGTTTTCAGGCTGGTTGCTAGAGCGTCGCCCGGCAACGGACCCAGCATCACTTCCGGGTGACGTCATCGGGCCGGGCATGTCGGCCCGATCCGGCCACTTTGGGGGTGGGGTTCCCCCCTCCAGCCAGATTCGAACTGGTGGATTGGGGGCCCTTTCGGCGGGAAAACCCCCGCCCTCCCTGGAGAACCTGGCAGCCCTGTCCTAAATCCATTTTATTCTCCTCCGAAAAAAGTGGGGAGATCAATTTTTGATGAAGATAATTAATCAAATTGCCCACAGGTACCAAAATTTGTTTTTGGAAGTTTTGAGAGATCACACGCCAGTCTCCACATCTCTCGGGGGGGATTTAAACTGCCTGGTGGGGACTGGCAGATTCCCTGCCCCCCAGGTCCTGTTGCTGCCCTATGTCTCAGGAGAAAAATTAGAATGAAAAATATGGCTTCAGCTACTCACAGGATGTTCTTACCACAAAGTTCCTGGCGATTCCTAGAGCTACCTATAGGGTAGTTCTAGGAATTGCTGGAAATTCTATGGCTAGAATTTCCAGGTTTACCATACAGCTTCTATCGGTTTCTAGAACTACCTTTTTCACTTCCATAGAGTTCCTGGTGATTCCTAGAGGGTAGTTCTAGGAATTGCCGGAAATTCTATGGCTAGAACTTCCAGGTTTACCATACAGCTTCTATCGGTTTCTAGAACTACCTTTTTCACTTCCAGGCAGCTCTAGGAATCACTAGGAACTCTGTAGTAAACACTTCCTGTAAGTAGGCAAGGCATTATTTTTTTTAAAAAAAATTCTTCCAGGATACTGCCTCCCCCCACAACCGTTTCCAGGCATTGCTTGGTTACCCTAGTGGTGACTTTGTTCTGAGCCCAAGACATTTTGATGCTAGAGAAGGAAAATTGAAACAGACCCACACATAGCGGCTGAATATGGAGCACAATCACTCGGAAAGTCCTCCTGTGTATGCCCCACTGAAATAATTGGGAAAGGGGCACGGGCAGGAGAACATTACTTCGTCCACCGTGCCTTCAGGGTTAGATCCATCTAAATCCCTAGATCTGCTTTGTCTCAACCACTGGTGACCTCACCTTGCTGCATCGTGAAGCCAGTTCTGACCCTTTAGGTGGGTGTCTGGCTACGCAGCAAGATCTACTTCCAGCCAATGGTTGCCAACTCCGTCTTAGGAAATTCCTGGAAATTTGGCGGTGATGCCTGAGGAGGGTGGAGTTTGGGGAGAGAAGGGGAAATGGCAGCGATGTGGCAATGTGGTATCACTCTAGGACTTCCGCCCTCCGAAGTTCCTGTTGAGAACTCAGAGAGCCAGTTTGGTATCGTGGTTAAGTGCGTGGACTCTAATCTGGGAGAACCGGGTTTGATTCCCCACTCCTCCACTTGCACCTGGCTGGATGAATTTGGGCAAGCCGTAGTTCTGTCAAAGCTTTTCTTGAAAAAGAGCAGTTTCTGTCAGAGCTCTCTCAGCCCCACCTACCTCACAGGGTGCCTGTTGTGGGGAGGGGAAGGGAAAGGAGTTTGTAAGCCGCTCTGAGACACCTTTGGGTAGTGAAGGGCGGGGTATAAATCCCATCTCTTCTTCTTCGCTTCTTCCTCATGGGCAACTGTAATCTAGATATCAGTTGTAATTCTGGGAGAACTCTAGACCCCATGTGGAGGTTGCTTACAAGTGCCTTTTATGTAGCCCTCTGATACCCTTTTTGTCTCCTTAATTTTGTACCCCGAAGGAGGTTCTGAGCTGTGAGAATGTGTCTTTAGCCATCCCCGACTTAGACCTGCTGGAGGGAGGGCCGGATCCCTTGATGGAGTTCGCGTCCTTCTATCCTTCTCCTCACCGCTCTGTCCCAACACCTTCCCACAGTGCCCCAGGCGGGGAGGCCAAGGTGACTTGTATGGACGCGCCACGGCTTCTGCAATCTTTCCCCGTCATGCTTCAGTGCTGTGCGGCTAAGCAGTGGTGTGGTAGCGTCCGTGTGACCAGTCTGTGGCTTCAGAGCTAGTAGACAGCTTGCGTCTGCCGACCTTCTTGTCTCCTCTTCTGGTTCCTGCTTTCCGTCGCCATTTCTGTGTCTCCCACAAACAAGCCGCAGAATTTGCCCCAGTTCGTCTTACTGGGCCAGCTCTGAGATAATGTGCAAGGATAAGAGAGAACAAAAATGTCCCCCCCCCCCCTTTTTACCTGATAAACATTTTCTCCCAGATCCAAAGCGGTCTTTCCCCCACTTATAGCTCATAGCCTTTGACTAGACTTTACCTCATGATGTGACCTAATTCCATAATTTACGCAGTCACAGCTAACGTTCATGGTGTGCTAATCTTGCACTGTGCGAAAAGGTACTTCCCTTCGTCTTCCTTCTATTTAGTCAAGCGACCGCCGGTTGCAGTATGACGAGAAAGAAATATCTCTGTTCCAGTGATGTAGATTTATAAATCTCAACCACGTTGTCCCTGTCACAACGACACACAAAATCCTACACATCAGTGTTCCTGCATATGGGTAGCCTGCTTGTTCAGAAGAATGTTGGGGAAGCGGCGCTTTTGCAGTTCCTGTATGGGAATGGTCTCCAATGTGGTGCCCACCCATTTGAGTTTTCCCCGAAGCTATGAGCCAGTCCTGTCTTTCCTCCAGCTTACTGGGGCATAGAATCCAGAAACAACAGATTTCAACACAGGAGGATGCTTGGGTTGCTACTTCCCAGCATTTTGTGATTGGCCCCGGTGCCCCCACGGCAGCCATTTTGTGCCGGCCTCCATTCCCGGTTCTCACGATTCTCCAAGTGCTCGCTGGTTTCAAATGATTGGGGACCCCTTTTGTACGGACTGAGAGCATCAGAAGATGCAGAACTTTTCCCACATAAAGAATGTTCTGACTTATCCTTGTTACTAGGGAGCAAAGCCCGTTGTGGACGGAGACAACGGGCGCCTAGAAAAGTAGGGTGGGTGAAGGAAGGAAGGAAGGAAGGAAGGAAGGAAGGAAGGAAGGAAGGAAGGAAGGAGGGGAGGCAGGGGGGCCTGCAAAAGATTCTCCCGTCAGTTGGGGGGGGAGAAGGAATCGCCGCCGCCGCTGGCCTCCAACTGGGTGGGCGGGTGGGGGAGGGAAATCAGGCCATGGCGAGGGGTGCAGTGCCGCCGGCGGTGCGCCGTTCGCACGCAGCTTTTGCCTCCCGCCTCCCAGCCAATGGCATGGCAGCAGCCTTGAGCGGCAGCTGGCCAGACAATGGCTGACGGAGCGCATTTTGTCTCTGCTCAGTCTTACGCTGCGTCTTACTCAATTATATATAAGGGAGAGATGCCACTGGCTTGCATGCATACAGACACCCAGTGCCCAGTGGGCTTGTGGGCTTTGCAAGCCCACAAGAGACCACTAGCAGGGAAGGGAGGGGCTGTGGCTCAGTGGAGACCTCCGCCTGAGACCCTGGAGAGCTGTAAAGAGGGGCTGTGGCTCAGTGGTGGAGCATATGCTTGGCACGCAGAAGGTCCCAGGTTCAATCCCCGGCATCTCCAGTTAAACAAGACCAGGAAGGAGGTGTACAGTGGTGTACAGTCCCTGGAGAGCTATAAAGAGAGGCTGTGGCTCAGCAGCAGAGCATCTGCTTGGCGTGCAGAAGGTCCCAGGTTCAATCCCCGGCATCTCCAGTTAAAAAGGACCAGGTAGGAGGTGATGTGAAAGGCCTGAGACCCTGGAGAGCCACTGCCAGTCTGAGTAGACAAAACTCACCATAATGGGCTGAGGGTATAGAATTGCCAGGTCCAGGTTGAGAAATTCCTGGAGATTTGGGGATGGCACCTGGGGAGGACAGGGACTTCAGTGGTGTACAGTGCCACAGAGTTCCACCCTCTAAAGCATTCATTTTTCTCCAGAGGAACTGATCTCTGTGATCTGGAGACGAGCTGTAATTCCAGGGGCTGGCATCCCTAGATCATCCGATTCAGTCTAAGGCAGCTTCATGCGTATGTGTTCATGTGTTTGTGTTCTCCGGCCCCCAAACTGGAGGCCGGCTTATCCCCCAGCAAGCAGCTTGCGCCAATTCACTTTTGCAACCTGTAGAAGATCAGCCATCAGGCGAAACAGGCCAGGGACCACCCCAGTTCCAAACACCGGCCTTGCCCCTTGTGCTTTCCCCCTACACAGACAGCAAGTTGGCAGCACATCTCCTCTCCTTCATATCTAGCAACCTTGAAGCATTTTTTTCCCTTAATAAAAACCAAATTTGGGAAGCGCCGAGCACAGCTGCCTTGGAAAGGGCCTCCTCCTTGCCTCCTTGAACCTCGGCCATCTGGAATCAGAGGCTCGAATTAGCATCAGAGCGAGATAGCGGGGAAGGCGATGTGCTCTGCGTCTCGAGGTTCATCCCTGACATCTGCGGCTTCGAGCAGCCGGGGAGAGCTGTGGCCAAGTAAACATGTGGCCGTCCCTGGGCAGGCTGACTCTCCGCTTCGTCAGGAAAAGGAGAAGGATCACCTTCTGGAAGGAGAGTTTGAAGATTTGAAATGGGACTCAGATTTGGCACAGGGAAAAGGAGAGGGGGCCGTCTGTTCGGAGACGGACGGAGGGACTTTAGTGTCTGAAGTCCAGAAAATGCAAATGGCACCCTTCGAGGTGGTAAAAAGCCATTCAGAGCCAGTGTGGTGTGGTAGTGTTCAACAAGCTCCTCTGCTGAAGGGAGATGTAGTGGCCTCTTTAAAATGGCTACAAGCAAGCTACTCCGCTGAGGGGAGATGATGTGACCTCTCCAAAATGGCTGCCAGCAAGCTCCTCTGCTGAGGGGAGACATAATGGGCCCTTCAAAGTGGCTGCCAAAAAGCTCCTCAGCTGAGGGGGGTCATAAGGGCCCCTTTAAAATGGCTGTCAGCAAGCTCCTCTTCTGAGGGGAGGTGATGTGACCTCTCCAAAATGGCTACTAGCAAGCTCCTCTGCTGAGGGGAGACATAATGGGCCCTTCAAAATGGCTGCCCAAAAGCTGTCAGGAGACATAATGGGCTAGGGTTGCCAAATGTGGAAAACGGACCGGCGGGGGAGCGTCCCGCTGGTCCGGGAGCCGACGGAGCGTCACCCGGAAGTGACGTCACATGCTGGGCGGGGCCTCGCCATTTGAGGGGAAAA